CTTTGCACTTGATGTTGCTTTGCTTCTTTTGAAAAGTTCATAAAATATCATTTGCTTTTCTTTGCGCGTCAGATTTGTTATTCTGACTTTAGTACTTACAACATCATATGATGTTTGTTCTTCTCGGGGTGTTAATGGATTTCTGTATGTAGCAAACACGTGCTGCCCATAAAACTAGGCTCTCATTTCAAACGATTAAAATTTATCAAAGAGCTGCTGCTGCTGCTGCTGTGTATTAATTTAACAATTAGCATTCAGTGAGTCGGATATGACCAAAACACGTTGCAATATTGATTGCTTTACACACGCTTTTGCATTCATTCGTTGGCTGGCTGGCTGATTGTGTCTGATTGACAGACTATGGCATGATATATGCAATTTGCCGTCTACATTAACCTTTGATCGAACACATTTAAATGCTTCAAAGAACCTCCATCACATTTTGCTTTGTTTCAATCGTTTTGCTGCAATTTTGATGTCCCCCCATTTGCATGCCATAAAACGACTGTATGCTCGTCATAGTTGCTTGACTCCAACTGAAAGGTTTATTCAATGTCTAATTAAGAGCGCATTTCGTCATGCAAACATACATTCAACGAAATCCCACAAGTGTCTCGTATTCGTTACACCGAATGGTGTTTATCCAGTGTTTGCGCTTTTCATTGTTCCAAATTCTATTGCATCATCATTGGTTCAACAACAGCCAGAAAAACACACATTGAGTTGCGTTTGAATAATAAATCTTATGAACTTCGAACGGAGCCACGATGCAAAAGGTAATTGAACTAACTGGAGTTGCTCGCATCATTAAATCAAAGCAATTTGTTCACTAAATTGATGGGCTTTCTTTCCGAACGAATGGCCCGTGAATAGAAAAATTCATTTGAGTTGAAGAATCGAAGTGATTATTTGTTGTTGTTGTTTGCGTTCGAATTGAATTGAATCGATGTCAATCAGCCAACTATTTAAATGTCAAAAACATTCAACTGAGGTTCAACCACATGCATACCGAAATACATATTTAATACGCGCGTTTCATATTGAAAACGACGTTCCGCAAGCAAAACATATGTTGAAACTTGGCTCTATATCGCTTACCATACGATGTAAAATTAATCGACCTATCGACGAAATTCCAGACACACAAAAAAAACTATGTCATTGTGTGGAGTTTTAATGCCGACACTTGAAAGCCTACGGCACAAATCTAAATACATACGACACCCAACAAAATGAAAATCATTAGTTGAAGCATCATTCAGATGCGGCAAAGGGTGCTCTGCTGCGTTGAATCATATTCGATTTCAAAGTTGTTGTTGTTTTTCTGCGCCAATCGTACACAGCGTGATGACGTCACTGTTGTTTTTCACAGCCTTTCGATTTAAAATTTATGCTAATTAATGGATATTACATTTTATTATTAGTTTTTTTTTCGCCACATCGATTCATGATTTGATTGCTTTTGTTATTTTCGGCATGAGCGCATCTCCGCTTATGGACTCGATAAAGCCTTGCTAACCGATTGGTTCAACAACTGGAATCATCTGTTGTGATCATACCGTGGCATACTCATTCCCGCAATGGGAAAAAAAAGCCGTGTGTCAACGAAATACACTGTCAATATACGGTGGTTTGTGTTGTTAGCCATGCATCGAGTTGGCTAAAAATAAAGTGTGGATTTGTTTTCTTCCTTTTTGAAGTGTCATTGAGAGGCGAGCCTCATTTTGGTTAGATGTGACCATACCAAAGTTTAATGATATGGAAACGACATTTCGATTATAACTGCAATGGCTTAATATTTTTGTTGTGAATAAATTAAAAACCCATCGACTTTGGTCTACCGAAAAGTTTTCCATCATACATGCAGCTTACGTATCCAGTTGATAGTAGTTAGGTATGATATTCGGTCCGGTTTAAAGAGACCTTGATAAGCGTACCTCATCCGTAAACATTCTTCCTAAAACCATATGGTTTGTGTCGTGGGCGCTTTAATATTTCACTTATCAGATAAACATTGTTAATCATTTACATGCCGGGCGCAAAAATGGTCGTAACGCCGACTTCAAATCGAGCCCACAACCCAATTCGTTACAATAAACGAATGTAATTCTGTAAATGGTAGCGACGGAAAATCATTTATTACGCATAATGTACACACAGCACGGGTTTTCTCCTTATATTTACTCGATAAACAAAAAAGCAATACTCATCTCTCTCCCTCTCCCTCTCTTTCTCTCAAGCACGCGTATGGTGCCATTTGATTACGCATTTTGGTTCGACTACTGTGTTTTGATGTTCACTAAACATTGTTCACCAAAAAATTTTTTATGACGATTAATTGCAAGCTGAGCCGCGAAATACTCACTCGCAAACATGAGTGGCGCGCGTGTATATTGGAATAATGAATATGTGATACGATGTGAATCGATAGTTTTGTGCTGATGACAAAAACAAAACCATAAAAACGCAAATGATTTAAATCGCAAGCGGCGAACAGATCGGTTGGAACAGAACAAGCGCGCGTGCACACTCGTACACGAAATGGCGCATAAATTGGCAACGTCGCGTGCATACAAATGATCGGCGTTTCATTTAGAATATCTTGTTTATTATAGAATTCTTTAGTGTGTGTGTATATGCGTACGACAGCCATATGAGTCGCTCCAGAATAGAAGTGATGTCATTATGTTGAGCTGAGACGCGGCCGGGAGAAATTCGTACGTTACATACACACAATGCGTTGTGAGAGCATAACGAAGAAGGAATAAAAGCACTCTTTTGTGTACAAACAACGACCAAATACGGTGATCTCATGCTTTCGACTCTTCTGTACGAAAACACTAAAGGCACACACGACGATGACGACGATGACGACGACGAAAAAAACACGTAAATTTGTTGTTCGCATAGAATTTCACCGAAACGAATCAATTCGTTGATTTTGGCTCTCTTAAGTATTTTTATTGCTGACGATGAACGAAACGAGAGGAAAAAACGGTGGATGCACAAAACCGAAAAAATGCATTGTTTTGATGCAACACGGGATGGAAAGGAGATTGCGCAATACATTAGGAATTTCCTCGTTTCGTTCGGTTTCTCCTCATTTTCTGTCTGCGGCCGATGTTTTTTTTTTCTTCATTTCAATCTCTCCGATGCAGCAGAGAAATTAAAAACAGCCGTCGAGGATATACCAATGTCGACTTGTAGGCATTCTTGCGATGATGCAGAAAAAAGAATGAGTAGCCACTTTTGTTAGTAAACCAAATAACCTTCCTTTAACTTTGGCTGTGAATCATCTTGTTGCTAATTTTGTGCATAGCCGAATCGTTTTCTTTTCCTTCTTTATCCTCTGTTGCTTGCACGCTTCGGCTATTCCAATCAGAGCACGAAAGAATCGTTCAAACATCTGCATGTAAATGAAACCAGTTTTTTTCGCCTCTCTGGAAAACGAATAGGAACCATTTCTCTTCGCTGCTCATTCTCTCTCTCTCTCTCTCTCATTATATCTCTCATCGTTCTAGTGCATCCGTGTGTCGTCATCGTCGTGGTGGAAACAAAGGGCGAAGCGGACATGCACGTACATCCAAGGACATTTCAACGAGACTTCTTAAATTTGTTTCCATCGTTGCCACGATTCAAAAACTTACTTCAACAAAATGCTGCTTCATTCGTATGCACCAGTTAGTCTAGCAATTTTTTAAAAAATAAAACCTAAACGACAATGATGAATAAAACATTTTGCTGAACAAAAAAAGAGTAGAGAAAAAAAACGAAAACAAAGAAAAGCAAAAGGTATTTGGGAATGAAACCTGCAAACTAACATTTTGAATTGAAAATAAATGGGACAAATTTGTACGACTTCCTATGGATTTTCGATACCATTTCGGTTGGTTTCAATCCTATTAGGTGCTCGGAATGTGAACAGAAATAAAAACAAGACCAGTAGCTAAAAGGCTTATTAGTCATGTTTACTCTTTGATTTACGCACATCGTCAACAACTTGGATGACTAAAAATATTCACAATTTCTTGTGTTTGCGGAAGGCTACATTTATTAGATAGTGAACAATAGTTTTGTTAACTAGACCACAAATGAGTGCACAGTATTACATGGCTAATCTTTCGTTGTGTAGCCAAATGTATAGGGCTTTGTTGTTTGTAAGACAAGATCAACGGATTGATTTCATGAAAACCACTACTTCGTACTTTGAACACACACAGACTCGATTGTGTATTTTATCGAATGAAAATATTTCATTTCTCGGATTGCGTTGCGTTAAGGAAACGATCTGAATGTGACAATGTTAACAATATTTTTCAGCCCATTGCCAAGTTCGAGTGCGATAATAAGTTTTATTTTTAGCTGGCTTGAAATTCGAATACTAAATATCAGCACCGCTTACACAATTTGCTTGGTGCTGACTTTATTCGCATTTTTTTTTTAAATTTCAAGTCATGTTTCGTGTACCGCATATTTATATTGGTCTTGATATGTGACAGTAGCAATTAAATACAGTTTCGGATCTTGCCGCTTTTTTTCTCATTTTCATTTACTTCCGTGATACTAGCTCATCCATAGCCGCCAACAAAAACAAGAACAACAAACAACATCAATAGTAAGCTCAGTGTATGCAGGCTTACATAAAATATTTATGTGCTCTTAAATTCAAACCGTATACATTTTGCGTTGCCGGTCTCATTTAAGCACGATCGGTTTCCCTTAAACACTTTATTTTATGACTTTGCCACATAGCTCTTGCATTCAACCGGAAGTTTTTGTGAAGAAACACAAATAAACAGCTACATCAAAAACTATAACAACGTTTAACTCGAGACGAGATCAAAATATGTGATAAGTTTAGATTTGTTTACAACAGACGAGAAAAAAACATAGAAAAGAATTTTGACATTTTACTAAACAGCTGTGGCTATCAGTCACTAACTAATCACTTGGAATGATTTCAATTAATATGATTGTGTGTATTTTTCTTCTCATTTTAGCGCTTCTGGAACCAGTGCAGTTGCAATCGACAACAAGATCGAACAAGCAATGGTAAGTACAAGCAATTTCATTTAGACGCTCAATTGGACAGAATAAACACATCAATGGCAGAATTCATTCAAGAAATATAATCAAATGAAATAAAAACGGATATTCATACCATCTAATAGCTTATACTTGAATCAGAGTGGACTCCATTGAGAGTGGTCGTGGCTATTTGCGAGTAGTTTTCGCCGAAATTGACTCAAACCACTTTTGATCCGCAACAATTTCTTCATCGTGTAAGGCGGTAGTCACATGACTGAAATCACACTTAAATGCACGAGAAATTGAAATAAAGTCCCGGCAAAAAAAAAAAACAAGTCGCCGCCGTCGCTGCTGAGAGTAATGATGAGAGTAATTTACACCGATTTCCTTCATCGTAAATTATAGTCGAAATACTTAAACCGAGTTGGGTGCCTCTCGCTCTCTCGCTGTCTGTGTCTCTTTCGCCAAGTGTCTCAAAACACCGGCTGATTAAGCAAATTCGTAAATTGCCAATGTATGGCGGCTCTTGAACGCCTTACATGACCCATAAAACAAAGCCACCGACTATCAATTGAGTCAATGAATGTAGTCAAGAGTGGAAAAACGTTGACGTTTAATTGAATTTCCTTTCTCGTGGAGCATTTCTCAAGCGTATCGCACCAAAGACCTCATGATAGACAGCGATTATTCACATTCGTTCAACGACATTTTGATATTGTTCTTTATTTAACGATGAACTTCGACGTTCTTTCGATACACCATGGAGTTCTGCGATAAACAGTCGAAAAATGGAATTAAAATCGAAATCAATCTTTTGACGCAGACATAAATTGAGTCGTAAACAAAAGCCGAAGCCGAAGCCGAAGCAGAAATAAACATAAAGATTGTCTTTCACCTTGTGGTTGCAAAAAGTGCAAAAAGGTCGACCGATGTAATTTCATCCAGGAGCAAGATCCAACCGATTTCCTATATCATTAAGAAGCAATCACTTTTTGGTTTGGTTTATCGATTTGAAGAAAAAGAAACATTTTCTTCCGCTTTCAAGTGATTCTAGAATAAATCCATATCGGGAGCAGGTAGCCACAGTAGCAGTGAATGTCATAACCATGTCATCGAGCTGATGACATAAAATTCCAGTTTAAATTCACTGAAATTGACGGCAATTATCTTGCTTCACTCTTATTTGCCGCCAATGGTCATCCTCATTCTAGTTAACCGTATCCGGATCAAGAGTAATGATTTCTATTTCTTTAGATGTCAACCATGAATCAATTAAGATCAGCGAATCAATTGCGAAAACATCTGACATCAATTTCAATTTCAACGTGTGTGCAACGGAATGTCAGGCTGAAGGCAAAGAATCAACGATGCACCATCGATTTTTTGCTTCTATGGAAATTCTTTCATTGTGGTAAATCGAAGTCACGAATTTGATTCGCGTTTTGAGTCATGCTGTTGTTTTTTGTTGTTGTCAAGAAATCAAAATCAAATAATTCATAAAATTATTTCCTTCGTTGTGGTCGCACCCAAACAAACAATCAACTGAGGCCGCAAAGAATGCGAAGGCGAAGCAATTTTGTTTTCCACGATGCATTGGCATGAATGCAAGTGCAAAATGCAATAAAACACACCCTTGTCGTGGCCAACGCGTGCTGTTGGAAAAACTTCCTCAAACGATAACCATCTTTGAGTTTTTTACCCTGAGCATCAAAAATTATGGTGGAAGCATTTCCATTTGATGCATGCAATAAGCGCATTTACACAGAATTTCGTGGTGGCGTGGTCGTTGTTGTTTTGTTGCTGCTTTGTTTTCTTCGTATCGTTTCATTTCGGTGAGAAAAAAAGCTGCATAATTTAGGTACAGCAAAGAAAGAAAATGTCGAAAATGATTGCATGCAACATGCAATCCGCATATTTTATACGTGTGCATCGGTCAAAGAATATCAACAACAACCGACAGCAGCAGCCGTATGCACGGAAAAAACAACAACAACAACCATTTAATAAAAAATCCAAATCAAATGCATCAGCAACAAAAACATGTAAAACATGGTCATTTTGGTTTAACAGAACTACAAAGAAAAAAAAATCTAATATATAGTAGTACGATCACGCCAAACCTAATTTCTGGGCCGCGTGTGCCGCATTTGATTGAGGAAAAACTTTTCGATTAATTTCTGGCTCATAGCTTTTTACTCTCGAGAATTTTTTTTCGATTCCTTGTTGTTGTTCTCGTGTTTTTGTCCCTCTTGTTGCTGACGTTGTTTGCTGCCAATTTCAGTAGCATGTATTTTGCATAGTTAAATTCCATCCGAAAAGCAAAAGCTCATGCAAGTCAACCACGCATTCTAATATTTATATAGAAATTATTCTCGGAATTATGCTTGTACAGTTTATCGGCTACCATCAGGAAATGTTTTTCCAACATTTTTCCTGCAAAACATTGCTATCACATACTACATTAAATTAGCAAATGCCCAACCAAAATGGTTAGCAACTCGCTGTAAAGTCGTTTGTAATTCACTGCGTGTGTGAGCTGTCGTTTGTGAGTGGAAAGAATTTTCAATTTCAAAGTTGTTTGCATTTTCGGACGGGAAGTGACGAAATAAATTGATAAACGAGTGGCAGAGTCACATTGTCAAAAATTACATAAAAAAGAAGCGTCTGACAAGCCATCGAGAGAGAGAGAGCGAGGGAAAGACAAATGACAGCATCCGCCACACTCACTCAATTATTCATATTAAATGGCGTAAGAAATGACGAAGGAATGCAGCAGCAGCACAAATACGAAAATTTTAATATAGACGCCTTAATTACGGCTGCATCAATCAAATGCATTTCAAACACGATCTGAAAGAGAAGGAAAAACGATGATGACCATTAACTCATTTCTCTCTGTCTCAAATTTCTCGGAACAACGAGATTCATCTTCCATTTCGAATGTCAATATGCGATTTATTCGTTTGAACGATGTGGCATGCAACCTGTCGTCCATTTTTTTCTTCTTCTTTCTACTCTCAACAACAATCAGGCTTCAGCACATGTGAAACTAGATCATAAAAATTCATCAGTCTGGCTCCACACACACTCCAATGGCCGATGCATTCCGTTAGACATTCATTTCTTGCAAGAAGGAAATGTTTGGAAATCAGTTTCTTTTATCGAAACGAAAGACAAAACGAAAAAAAAAAATTGTTTGTACAGAGGCTTTTTTCTGCGACGTTCAACGTGCACCACATTCAAATTGCCCTATTTATTTGGATGCGGAACCGCGAAGTTTACAGTTTCATATGCAGACAAATTCTTAATCGACATTTTTCGCTACTGTATATATTGTAAGTAGACAACGAATTGACTTAACTTGACTTGACTCGAATCGGTGAGCTCGAGCGATACTTTTCCATCGTGCGCCTAATCGTCAACCGGCCAATCGAGTCATTTCATCTTTCAACATTATCAGCACGTAACTGCATAAACGAACCACGGATGCATTGGAAAGTGGATTGATATGGACAAAAACGTTCACCGCGACCTGAACAAAACAAAACGAACGAATGAACGATCGAAAAAAATAAACATCGAAACCCGTTTACCAGTTAGATATATACAAGTTTTTTTCTCTTCATCGAGCATCCGTTTCGGGTGATGTGCAATTTGATTTCAATTGGCGACACACTGTTATGCATCTTCATCACTCTATCGGTCGCATCTATAGGCGATGACTTATGCACGACATGATCGCGCTTAGTTGGCGAATAAGGAAGCAACAATCATTGAATCAAATGTAGACGCAATGTTTTTTCCCCATCTCTTCGGTCTTCGGTGTTGCTGCGGCTTGCACACCGCAAAAGGCAATAACACTCTGTGTAAAACAAACTGCTTAACTGGCACATGTGATATTGAATTGGATTTTGTCACATCACGTTCATCGTAAAGAGGAACGTTGGTGTTTAAATTAACGGTTTTCGTTAGAAAAGAACGCTTAATCCGAGGTGAGAATCGAGTTTTGCACGTGGCACAAGCCTTTTTGTCTCTTTCTCTCTCGCGTCCGGTGTGAGTTTTCATTTCACATGTTCATTAGAACGGTTCAGGGTACGTGCTCATGAGTCTCGAAGCGCATTTCAATCATTATTTCAAAACAATAAACGACATGAATGATCAACACACTGTTGCAAATTGACCCGCTACTGTGTTGATAGGTTGTTAAACTTAGTGCAGTCATCGACTTTATGATCTCGCTAACAAAAAAAACGAGTCATTGTTTCGTTTTTGCGACGGTTTCTTTGTGAAAATTGGCTCGTTTTGCCGTTCTGGCCCAAATTATTTGTACATCGCAATTTACCAAAAAAAAATTCGGTTTACATTGAGATTGAAAATAAATTAGATAAGCGAATGCCATTACTTCAACCAAACACTTTTTCTCCCTCCGATATATACGCCATTTTACTCAAAATGGGCCGCATTGATTAAACAAATCATAACCTGAAATCAGAAACTTGCCATGTTTACCATTTTTTTAATGCCCATTTACTTTGTTTATCGCCATAACGAAATGCAAAAAAAAGTTCTTTCAAGCAGTTTCTCTCACATGAAACTTTGAATGTCAAATATGTCTGCTTCACTCTTGAGTTTCCGTATACTCTGTGATAAGGCAGGACTCGTTATCAATCGTAGAGTTGCTTGTAAGCAAATATTTTCGTGATTGCATGACAAACGCAATGACAAGCTGAGCTAGACAAATTGCACTCACTTCACTTTTTTGTGTTTCATTTTGTTTGTGTTGGCAAAGCTGAAACGATCGAACCATATTGAAACGACAGTTTTTTTTACATTCCTGACTTTTATCTAAGTTTTTGACATCAATAAAAATGTCGAGTTGAGACGCAATATCACATAAAGTGGTGATTCAATCGGATTACAGAGGCTTTGGTACAAATTTATATCATAGCGCATAGCTCCCTCTCTCTCTCAGCTCTCGCTCTCTATCCGGCAACGCTGAAATAATTAAGTTGATAATTATAAGC